TACCAACATGAAAAAAGAATCACCTGTAAGAATAGATTTTGGTTATTTGTGTTAGTCGGAATTAGGACGTGTTTAAAGGATATTTTGAAATAACCAATAAGTGGTTAAAGGATGAGACTTTTCCTAACTATTTGAAATCCGCTAATAAGTTCAAAAATATTTTGACGAGATAGAAACTAGTACGTAGAATAAAAAGATAAAAATTACCATTTGGTGCGAGGATTTAGATAATGAAAGCACTAACTTAACCCACATAAACCTAAATTAAATTACGCCAATTAAAACACCGAATTAGGGGTGATAAAGAGTTGGGTCCGGCTGGACCCGGACCCGAATACGGACCCATCAAGTCCCAGGTCTACCCATCGAGTTTTGGGTATGGTAAGATCCATTGCCAACCTATGACGATGAGCTCTTTTTTTTTACCTGCTTTTTTTACATCATTTACCCAAAGATTATGAGCATTTTTTTGCCAACTTATACCCTATGACTACGGATATGGATCGGGAGAGGCTAGAACCCCAATAAAATTCGGGTCCAAAATTTGGGCTCGGATCCGTGGTCGGGTATACCCGTTGGATCCCAGGTCTAGTCAGGTCCATTGGCACCCCTAGACCAAATAAATTCGATGCATCAAGATAAGAAGAGTCATTCGGTAAAATTTGTAGTTAGAATGCACGGAACATGAAAAATATATAATAATTTTAAGACAAGCTACTCTAAATAATCATTAGTAGAAACCAATTAGAGGCAAAGAACATTTCTTTTTGACAAAGATTCAAAGATTTTATTGCTAAGTAGGGAGAGATATTACATCATTTGAAACAACAAGAGAAGATAAAAGAACCCCACCTTTCGCCAAAGAATCTGCCAGGGCATTAGCTTCCCTAAAAACATGGACAAATGAAACAAAGATTGTTTCAACTACATCCATGACTTGCAGCCAAAGGCCACAAACTTCCCAGGCTAAGCGTTGTTCCTTTTTACACCATTTAACAACATTTAAGGTGTCCCGTTCACAGATACAAGAACAACCTAGAAATTTATCAACTAATACTTTAACCCCACACAGCAAGGCACTAAGCTCAGCATAGTTGGCTATTCTAACTCCAATCGGGCCAACGAAGGAAAAAATAATATTGGCAGCAGAGTCATGCACCACCACACCAATACCTGCAACACCTGGATTCCCCAATAAATTCCGTAGAAATTTCACTTTAGGCAATCATCAGGAGCCGCCATCCAAGGCTTCTTAACCTTGTACATGGTCTCCCCAGCAGGAAAAGGCTACCAAGATTAGCCATTACATCTACCATGCAGATATTCTTTCCTTCCTTGTGTATAGAAATTGAATTCTAAATAGAGAGTTTGCTATTGTTTAATAAAATAGAAAAAGGCAAAGGATTCCTCTCAAAAGTCCGCCTATTTCTCTCTTTCCAAACTTCCCAAAGGATGTTTCACTTCACGATCTGCCAAATAATTTTCCCCAGCTTTGGCAGATGAGGAATGGAAAGTTGAGAAACAACGCCAGCCATAGGCGAAAGGAGTACCAATGACTAAGTTAAAGAGCCAAAACCAAATTCTCACTGTGAATGAGCAATGAATAAAGATATGAGCACCGGTTTTCTCATCCGCTTTACAGATGAGACAAACATTACGTAAAATTTTTCCCCTTTTGATGAGATTGTCAGTAGTGAGAACTTTATTCAAAACTGCCAACCAAGACCTGAACTTTATGAGAAACTGGCCACTTCCAGACTTTAGCAAGCGAGGGGCAGGAGGCTCTCCATCGGTCATGAAAGAGAAGTTTGTACCAGACATAATTGGTCTACAATTATACACAACCTTCCACATATGCGAGGCCTGAGAACCTCTACCACCCCCAATCCACATATTTTCTCTCTCAACCCCATATTTTGAAGCAAGCACTCTATACCACAGTTGGTCTTTAAAAATAAGGCTACGCCACCACCACTTACACAGCAGTGCCTTATTCACCAATTTTATTTTTCTTATGCCCAAACCATCTTCCGTCTTTGGAGAACAAATTCTATCCCACTTTAATAAATGAAACTTCATATTCACATCAGTTGATCACCACAGGAAATCCCGCATCATTTTTTCCAATCTTTTAGCAACAGAAGCAGGCATGTGGATTGGAGACATTTGGTACACCGGGGGGTTAGCAAGGCAAGATCTCAATAAGGTAACCCTATTGCTTAAAGACAAATACTTGCTCCTCCAGAGTGCCAATCTACCTTGTACTCTTTCAAGCACAATATCCCACACAGCAATGGTAAGTCTCAAGTCAGAAATAGGGAGGCCCAAATATAAAATAGAGAAGGTGCCAACCTTACATCCAAACAAAGTAGCCAAATCACCACCCACCCCTTCCAAACAGTTAATCGTAACCAGTGATGATTTTTTAAAGTTAACTTTCAGACCCAAAGTCACTTCACAAATCTCCAAAATTTGAGCAATATTAGAAACCTGAGCTGCCTCTGCATCACAAAATATCAAAGTACCATCCGCTTACTGAAAGTGGGAAATAACTATGTCAAAATTAGGAATCAAAAACCCCAAATAATACCTCAAATTTTCCATCCTGTTTAGTATAAGACTAAAGCACTTAGCATAAATTGTAAACGAAAAAGAGGACAAAGGATCACCCTTCTCAATCATCTAGAAGCACTAAAAAAACCTATCGGGCTTCCTTTAAATAACACTGAGAAGTACGCCGAGGACAAACAACCCTTGATCCATAATCGCCACTTATCACTAACGCCCATCACTCTCATGATTTCAAGTAAAATACCCCATGCGACCCTATCGTATGCTTTCTCCATATCTAGTTTTAATAGAATACCCGGCTTCTTGCTGAGAACTCTAGAGTAAATATATTCATGCGCGACCAACACATTTTCTGTGATTTGTCGATCTTGAATAAAGGCAGACAGAGTACATGAAATAAGAGAAGGGAGAACAACCTTTAGTCTTTCAGCCAAGACTTTTGCAATAAGTTTATAAAGACTAGTTAAAAGACTGATCGGTCTAATATCAGAGAGACCTGGAACTGTAGCCTTTTTTGGGATCAAGGCCAAAAAAGTGGAGTTTATCCTTTTAAAAATTTTTCCAGTTGCCATAAATTTTTTCACGAAAACCAATAAGTCTTTCTTAATAACTTTCCAAAAGCGGTGGAAAAAACAAAGGGAAAAACCATCAGGGCCAGGGGCCTTGTCTGCAAAAACAACCTTATGCAACTCTTCCATGGTCCATTTCCAACTGTAATTTTCCATCCACATAAAGAACTTTGAAGGGAACTCTATTCAACGAAGGTGTCACCTTAACCTCTTAATAAAAGGCCTTTCTGAAATTACCAATCACTGCCTCTTCCAATGCATTATAATTTTCAGAATCCACCACCGGAATGGAGAGGCCAGAAAGGTCATTCTATCTTCTACGAGCAGTGGCAATAGCAGGGAAATACTTTGCATTCAAATCACCCTCTTTAAGCTATTTAGATCTAGATCTTTGCCTCCAGTAGATCTCTTCCACCCTACGAAGCTCCCCTAACTCATTTTCGAAGTACGATCACTGATAACTTGTCGGGAAATACAACCACTCTCCTGAATAGAGCAATCAATCGCTTGTAAATCTCCCAAAACCTTATCAATTTTGGCCTTAACATCTGATTCTCATAATTTCCAGCACCTCATTTTCCTCCCACCACCAAGATCAAGGCATAATTATAATACTTCTTATCAAAAGGTAAAAAAAGGAGAAAATATCATGCAGAAATGTTTTGTCAAAAATATTGTAATGCATTACTAAGAACTCTTTCTATTTGTCTAAATAATTCAAAAAATAAAAATTAAAAAATAATAATTAGAAAAGTATGTTAATATCCATTTTATTTAATGCTACTTAAAATTTGTTATTGCATCTATTCCCAGATTTTTTGGTGGTTATAAAATAATACTTATTTCGGGTCTTCATTATCAAAAATCAATAAAAAAAATTGAGAGGATCTTTTCTTTTTTTATTTTTTCCTTCAAAAAAAATTTAGATTTCAATATAAAAATTTAAGAAAAAGTACATGATCCAGTGGGAAAATGTAATTTTTGGTTGCCGAAAATCTGAAAATTTAACTTTAAAGTAAATTTCAGATTTTTGAAATCCGAAAATATTTAGTGATGTTAATATACAATTTTAAAATTTTGAAAATCTAAAAAATTAATTTTAAAATAAATTTAAGATTTACATAAGGATGGGTTTATATGAGTCCCCAGTGAACATCTTAAACATGGATTTTAATAATATTTTGAATTATTTTATACTTATGGGATTTGAACTTAAGATATATACAGATAGATGCCTATAACCATCTTCAAAATGAATCTAAAATGGAGAAAATTAGTTTTTAACAAGATTTTTTTTCACCTATGGCCCCATTAAACCATCTTTATCCAAACCCCGTACGGACAAGCACTACTAGAGTTTGGTATAAGAGATGGACCTTTCTCACAACCGGTACCTCCACCAGCCAAAAAAGAAACTCTCTCAAAAAAAAAGAAATAGACCTTTCTCTCTCTTCGTTTTACCGTTCTTCAACATTTTCTCTCTCTTCATTCTGAAGTTCTTAATATATTCTCTCCCCCTTATGCATGCCTTTTAAATCCTCTTTCAACAAAATTTCGACTGAGCTCTTTTTTTCTCTGCATTCTGTTAAATCCTCTTTCAACAAAATTTCGACCGAGCTCTTTTTTTCTCTGCATTCTGTTAAATCCTCCGTCAACAAAATTTCAGCAGAAACTTTTGCAATGGGATCCTATAACAACATGGGTTGCAGACTTTCAATCCTTGCACGTTCAGGTCCATGTGTGCAATGCGACCGGAATGTGGGTATCAAATTTTTTGTCAGAAAGACGGTGACATTTACGAACGTTTAGACTACTAGAGATGTCCATTCCTCGGATTCAATTGAGTTTTTTGCCAATGAGATGGCAACCTCCATTAACCTAGACCTGCAAACTCAAGAAAGCGCATACCTCTACATTTTTCGTGAGTTGGAGTACTTCATACCCTCACAGATCGTCCATGGCCTCAGTTGGGAAATTGCCCATCATGCCCGTGTCGAAGCGATCTCCCGCCACGAGCCCAACATGCAAGTGCAATTGCGTTTCTTTATAGATATCAAATACGTCAGAGAAATTGTAGATGGTGAGCACCCCGAACCCGAAACCGAAGCCCTCCAACAAGAGGAGGAAATTATTGCAGATGAAATTCTGGAAGATGAGATTGAGGAAACGGCAACAGAGTTCGAGTTTCGCCAATTCATCGAACTCTCTTCGCAAGAGGGATACATTTTCGAAGGTGAATACCGACCAATGGAAACCGACAATCTCCAGCTACTTAGAGCCATTGAAGCATCCGCACAGGTGGATTTTCCTCTAAGACCGGCTGCAAGATCAGCAGTACAGTCCTTAGCCAGGCCTGATATCGAAGCGCAAGAAGAGGTTGTTTGCACTGTGTGCATGTGCAACATAAGTGCTGGGGATGGGAGGGTACTCCCGTGCTCTCACATCTATCATGCGGATTGCATCTTCAGGTGGTTGGAATTGAGAAATTCATGTCCAATATGCCGATTCCAGCTCCCTGTCCAAGAGTGACCATCTGTAAAACCCTATATTTACTTGAAAATTACAACTTTTGTGTTCGACATCTGATATCTTTTAAGTTTTGAATGCTATTTCTATGGTTGATGCCAATGTTAGAGGGATTCAATGCAATTATATCCGGTATA